GATTTGCCAGAATTTTATTGAGGATTTTTGCATCTAAGTTCATCAGAGATATTGGTCTGTAGTTTTCTTTCTTTGAGGTGTCTTTTACTGAAATTCATTAAGTTTTCAAAGTCTCTGATGAATAAATGAAGCAAGTACAACAGTTTATCATTCCTACACAATGTGACAGAATTGAAACTCTCATCTTACCAAGTATTATTCGTTCAGAATAAAAAATTGGCCATTCCTATTTAAAATGGTATGGAACACCAAGTGCCATTCTTAAAAGTGTTTCAAAGCATTTTTAGAACTGCTGGGCAGTGTAAAGTTGACTGATTATATACTGATGCTAGTTGTGTGGTGGTATATGCTTGTCAGTGTGTATATTCTGAAGGAACACAGTTCCTATGTCCCTCATTCTGGCTTTATCCAATAAGTAGATTATATAAGATTTCACTTTATCTGAGGTTGCCTAAGACAGTAAAACTTATGCAATATATTCTTGTTCAAAATGCACTCATCTTATTTCCAATTCTGATGAATTTTAAATAGATATATGGTGATGAGATTAATGTAATGATGAATTCTTTGTGCAACTCATTATTGGCATTATTTTCCCCAGAGTGTCTGTGAGAAACCTCCAGAGGCTTGTACTTCTAGCATATGTGTTGTGTCCTCTTCACAATCAAAGAATAGAATCAATGAACATAGAGAAGGTAAGAGTCACAAATAATGCAAAATTCATTGCATTATATTAAGCCTATTGTCTTAAAACATGAGCACTAGTATATTTTAATTGTTTAAAGAGAGTATTTGTTACCTAGTAAGGACAAAGAAATATAATGAGTCATATGGTATTAGGTTTTTGTCATAGGTTAAACTGTGGATATTGCTAAAGAAACTGAATTAGGAGTTGCATTTTTATACATGCTTCAATCAAAGTAAAGTAGAAATTAAACAGAAGAAGTAGTTATGAATACTGAGACAGGCATTAATTACAGGGAGTCATGGAAGAGGTAGCAGTTATACTCAGTGGAAAGAAGGACCCTCAGTTACATAAGATGGGGGAAAGAACAGTGTTTTCGAAATATGGGAAGCATTTTTGAGTTCCCAGGTTCAAAGCTGAATCAGGTGTAAAGTAAAAATTTTCCAACCTTCCTTATTTAGTCACAGTTGAAATGGAGTTAAATTGAGAAGTAAAGAAGGACTCCCAGAGTGTTATGTTTGTTTATCACAAAAGATTATTCATGTAAAAAATGTAATGACACATAATGTGTTGGTATCTTTACAAAGATTGTGTAGGGTAGAAACACCAATTAGTAAAGTGCAAAGAAATAGAAATGGTTACAGAATGGTCCCAAAATTCACCTATATCTAAATTTGGAAAGTTATAGCTTTTTATAAACTTTCATTTAATGGGTACCACTAGGGAGAAACCCAGAGCTACATTCAAGTTAAGTTAGTGGTATTTGATTCCAACAATATTTACATTGGAACTCTCATAGTGTAGTGAATCATCAGTTGAGGCCATGTTCAGATGTCATTATGACTTAGAACGTCTTTGCTTGTACATTTCCTTTAGATTCGAAGGTGATTCCAATGATCCTAGTATGCCAACAGCATTTTTGTAGTCAGGAAAAGAATGTCCCTTTGGGAAATTAAAAAAAAAAAAACAAAAACAAAAAAACTAGTAGATCCTACACACTGGGAAAGAAGAAGATCAAGTGCCATCATAAATATTGCTATAATTCTGATCATATTTCTTATGTAGTGGGGATAACACAAAAGACAAAAATTTAAAAATCATATTTCTTTTTTATCTTTTTAATATTTTAAATTATTGCATATGACAGGATGCATTACAATTCATAGAATACATATAGAGCACAATTTTTTTATGTCTCTGTTTGTACACAAAGTAGAGTCACTCCATTCATATACATGTATGAAGATAAGTGTATTTAGGTCACAAGTACATTCTTATGAATATTTCCACATATTAATCTTAGTTTTCTAACCCTAACCCTAGCTCACTAAAAATATTTGATATTACCCTTTCCAAAATTCTGTATCTATAATTACTGTAATTATAATTTATGTACACAAAATAAATTTTAGACTGTATTTTGCCATTTTTTTATTTTGGATGTTAAGTTTGCTTACATATCAAAATATATCTCATATAGGAATTATTAATTTGTCCCCTTATACACAAAATATATATTCATAAAACTTACATTTTACTGTTTCCTGTGTCAGATCCTGTATATTTATATTAGTTTCCATGTATATTTTCAAGGTATAGTCCTTTTTGTTAATTATTTTTTTAATTTATATATGACACCAAAATTCATTACCATTTATATTACACATGTAGAACACAATTTTTCAAAACTCTGCTTACAAAGTATGTTCACAACAATTCATGTCTTCATACATATACTTTAGATAATGATGTCAATCACATCTCACCATCATTTCTAACCCCATGTCCCCCCTCCCTTCCACTCCACCCCTCTGCCCGAGTTAATCTATTCCTCCCATGCTCTCCCTCTGTACTCCACTATGAATCAGCCTCCTTATATCAGAAAGAACATTCAGCATTTGTTTTTTGGGATTGGCTAACTTAACTTAGCATTGTCTTCTCTAACTTCATCCATTTATCTGCAAATTAGAAATCATATTTCAAAGATAAATTTGCTTCACTGGCAGACAGGAAGTAGTTGGAATAACCCATACAAAGAATGTAAAATGGAAATAATGAAGTCCTCTACTCTAGAGGGTTTTGTTTTTGAAAAAGCTAGAAGGAAGGCAAAATGAGAGAGAAAATAAAGAAGTTAGCCAGGTAATTGTGGAGGTAAAAAAAGAGAATGCAATTCAGCATTTTTCAGTGTACCTGCTTTCAAGCCAAAGGTGAGATGATTCCTGGTCCAGAGATGATTTAAACCTGTAGGGACTGGAAAAATCTGGGCAACCTGCTCAAAGAAATCTGTCCTGCACACCTACCAGGCCACATCCCATGTGTGTGACATTTATAAGAGTGATTTAGATTAGTGACTTAGTGTTTTTGTACCTTTTGTTTATTGGAAGATAGTTATTTTTATTATTCTGGATGATGATGATGATGATAATGATGATGATGATGATGATTATATTGGAGCTTTGGAATGAAACCATGTCCCTGGTGCTGCAAGAATGCACTTCATTCCTGTGCTTAATTCTGATCTCTAGATGTCTCATTTTCTGATGAGCCAGCACTTTCAGAAAATATGTGATATCATGTCTGGTGTTTTATGTCAGACTCATTTTTTTTTAACCAGAATTCTTTATGGAAATTATTTCTCATATACCAAGACTGTTTCTAACATGTTTATATGAAAGACTTGGAAACACAATACTTCATTCCTATCTGTCAATTCTGCCTGCTTTTGGATCACAGTTTGCTGTGGATAGCCATATCTGAATTCATTATGCTTTCTCATATTTTTTCAGATGCAGGATCTGTATCTCTGTACAAGGGTGAAAAGGAAATCATGATATTGACTAAAACAAAGGAAGCAGGATTAGGAGATGTGCCATGCTCCCAGATGGGTATGAAAAAACACACATATATGTACTACCTGTTATTCTAAATGCATATATCTAAGTCCAATTAATTCAGAAAAAAAACAGTTTGATGAGAAATAAAGTGTTCATTTCCACAGATCGTGGATGAAAACTTTTTAATAATAAGACAAATGAGGTAGAGGATACTCAGTTATAATAAAATGGATTAAAGAATTCATAGGTCACTTGACATATGTGCTTCCATCTGACTACTTCAGCTTTGACATTGAACTTCTCAGGTTTCTCTTTGCTTCTCTGAATACAGATCACTGTGGTCTCCAGATTCTGCATCTTCACATTTGTATATGTACCTTGCCTAAATATTTATGATGATTGCAAATGTGTTGTTATTATTTGAAACTTAACTACAAGTTTTAATTACTAAAGATATTTTCTCCATATTGATTTACTACATTTCAGTCTTGTGATTGTACTCAACAAAATCCACAAACACAAAACCCCAAGCAAATGTAGTCTGTATCGATGCAAATGAAAATTGTTATCACTCAGACTGAGCTCTCTACTTATTTCATAGAATGATGAATGTGTTTTTCTTAGTATTCAGGTTTTATTGATTATATATTTCACTTGCTTTTTAGGCTCTAAGGACGTACATGCTTCCTACAAGGTAATTCATCTTCTATATTTATGTGATATTATTAACAGTATGCTGGATGTACTGTAAAATACTTACATAGTATCTTGTCTCCATGCACATCAAGCCAACCATCAAAAGCAAAGATAAAGATCCCAAAAAACCAAAATGGAAGAATGGAACAAAAACAATGGAGTCAGGTAACTGTTGCAGTACAGCTTCTATAAAACTGCCTATGTTTAAACCTTGGAAATGAAAGCAATCTTCTCACTCTTAATATATCCATTTTCTGCCATGTGTTGGGAGGAGTTGCCCCATCTGGTCTGTGTTGGTTCTGCATCCACATTTCAAAATATTTCTGTAAATGCCTGAGGAAATGATTTTTAAAATAACCTGTATCATAGATGTTTCTACAATTAAAGTTCATGACACCTGTTAGTTGGATTGTAGGGCTGATTTCTTTTCCCACCTGAATTTTAAAAATAGGTCCAGGGGAGCAGGACTGAAATCCAGAATCCTGATATTATGAGGAATTCTAGTTTTCTTGAAGCCAAGATGTCAAGACCAGTCTGTGAAATACAGGAAAATCTCATTTATAAGACAATGTGCACTCTACCCTGACATCTAGTGTGACATCACATGTCTTATGTGTATCAAAGTTGTTTTTATGCCACTTATGCCCTGACTTTGACAACTCTTGTGGTCAGTGTGTAGCACGAAATAATAAGATGTATGATCATATATACTTTAATTTACCCCTTGCTTCTAAAGTGAACATTTGCTGATGAACACTCTTCCCTGAAATTTTAACTCAGAGTATTCAATCCATACCTGCATATCCCAATGCAATTTTTGCTCATTGTTCTTTGACTTGTTGTTTGCTTGTTTTATCTGTATGGTAAAAACGGAACCCAGATCCTTTTGGAGACATTCTTTCCATTCAGGCCTGCATTAACCTCGTAGTGTACTTCGCATTCTCATTATTCATCTCCAATCATGAACATGCCCCTCAAGTTCACATGCCCACAGAATTGAGATAGTTCCAAATTTATATGTGCCCATGGCATAGATGACATTCTTTGGTATGTGTATGTCCAAGCACCTTAACATTTTGAGGCATCTTTTACAATGCTAGTCTTCCTAAATCTATCTTTAGCCTGTTTTTCTAGTGCATGAACTTCTGGCAGTTTTCACCAATCCCTATTTCATCAGACATATATCATCCCCCCTTAACCCTTGTCTCTATGTCATACTATAGCTTTCCACGTTTTCACCATTCTCTTCCTCTGGATGATGGCCTCACTCCTCAAGTCTCCATTCATCCTTACCTCTAGAAAAGACATCATCCACGCCAAGTGTTATTGCCTCAGACACTTACCTGACACTTTATTATGGATGTTCAAACAAGTGGGTTAAAAAGGAGACCCTGAAGTCCAGGCCAATAATTTACAGGCTAAATGGTTGTTAACCAGTACAATAGCGGGTCATGGTCTGAGGTAGCTAATACCAGAAAAGCAAAAAGAGTTTATTTCAGAATTAACAGGCACCATGAGGAATGCTTCCAAAAACATAGTGATTCCTAACAGAAGAAATGCAGGAAATAGAAAGGAAAGGATTATGGGGTTCACTGGCAAAGGTATGACAGTGACCTCTTTTTTTCTCTTCTCCTTTCTCTCTCTTTTTTTTTTCAGAAACCAAACATCGTGTGCAGTGATTCATTATAAATTACTATTATGAAAAAGACATAGTAAAGTGTGAAGTTTCTTCTGTCAGTTGTTATTTCAATATCTTTTTCTGTAAAATATCATTTTTTTAATGGCTGAATCTTTAAGATATCATGTTTATTGAACATGGTGACCACTAGTGTCTCTGAAGTTGGATTAGTAAAACTATTCCCTAAATCTCTCAATACGCCCTGGGTATTTCAACTTAGTGCATTTCAACTTAGTGGGAGGCTGAGGCAGGCAGGTTTCCAATGAGCCAGGGACACTCTGTCTCCAAAAACATTTAAGGCCTCAGATTTGAATGTAGTGCTACAGTTGTTGCCAAGGATGCAAATGGCTCTGTGTACAACCTCCAGGCTCACATAACAATCAAAAAATTCAAACAACATAAACATTCACCTAAAATTAAATTTAACTTAAAAGTATCATTGTGAAAATAAAATTTTATGATTATTACTTTTGCAGTTGGCTATATTTTCACTCAGTCTAACTCTTTTAAGTAATTTAAGGACATCTATGCATTCATTCCCAGAGTCACATTCGGACAAGTCATCATCTGAAGAGAAGGAGTGGCTTGATGTCAAAGAAAATAGTCATCAACAGGTATGTAAATGTGTCAATTTAAATTCCTGGTGTTTGTCCCTTATTTGCTTTGGGAAAAGACAGTGTGCTGAACAAAATGAGCTCAAACAATATTTACTTGGAAATTAAATATCCTAATTCAATATTTAAATCTAAAGTATGTAACAGAAAACAAACATGAAAATAGCCTTAGATATTATGGAAGCTGAAGCTTTGAAGTAACCTTCATTTTAGCAATAGAGGAAATTTTTGAATATTGTATCAGTTGTCTTCTATGTGACCTCCTCACATCATAAAGAATAAATTTGAAACTCTGAAAGACCCAGTCAAAAGTCAGAAAATATTTAATTGTAATGGCCAGTGAAAACATTTCTGTTAAAACATCATCTTTCCCAAAGGCTCAAAATTTTAGTTTCCCATTACCACTAATCCATGCCAGTGTTAAAGATTCCATTCTCCCTTTACTCCACTATGTAGGTTGAGGCAGAAAATAAGCTTAAATGAGAAACTGAACAGTCTGTTAAAGGAATCAAAATCTTTTCAGGATGTATCCTTTCTCTTAGTGTACAAAGAGAAACTTTCTAGTTCATTTACTTTTCATGCAAGAAATCAAGAAAATCACTAAACATTTTTATCCTACCTCTGAAGTAGACATTAGTAAAAAGGAAGTGCTAAAGTTTTTGCCAAGGATACACATCTTGGATGCAGTTATTGGGAACTTTTTAAATGTTGGTGGTATCTTAATGTCCCTTTTTTTCCCTGTTGTCTATAGTAGTAGGAGGTGATTTTGCAATCATTTTAGTTCCAATGTTATGTGTGTGTCCTTTCAGTGTGCAGGTTTTTCTTTGGGGTGTGTT